AAATGAAACCTGTTACAAATAGCTCACGACAGAAATACTGTCACACTTTTCCAGTGTGACAGTAAAAGATGCTGCTTTTTTCCTTTACAGCAAAGACAGTGTCATGGACCATCTCACAACCACACTCATTCTACCCTGGTTTTACATAGAGCAGTAAGCACTATCACATCTTTGTATACACTTTATTCCCGAGAAATACACCACCAGGATCTTTATGAGTAATGGAGATTAAGCGGCAACGTAGTCTTTCAGAAAATAAGCTGATCAGTATATATACTGTAACCCAACAGGGAAAAAGAACTGCAGGTTTCAGAGGAAAAATGATCTAATACAAGAAAGGGGCTATTGTAATTAAGATATACGGAGTAAAGTGCTAGGAAAGAAAAGGGGAATGTAGAATTCTCTTCATACTCATGAAAAGCAGATTCAGCCCCAGTTTCTTGACCGTTTGGGGCTGAACCCCGTAACTGACATTATCTATACATTAAATACCGCTGCAAGTACATGATCCACTAGTCCACTCTGTCAAATAGAAAAAGATCTGCTCTCCCTTTTTAAAATGTCACCCTGCTACTGCTAAATCCCATGTCAGCACTGCCTTCTCCTGTTGTCACAACAGCCGACAGCCTACCTGTTGCTAAGGCCATTATGCTCGCACTGGCAGTTTCCAGCCTTTGCTTTAGGTTTTGGTTACGACAAATACCAAAACCGCAGAGAGAGAACAAGAGTCCCGTTCATTTTTGGGGTTTTCTGGTTAGCTTTCATATACATAGCCCTAGAAGGGGCCGTTCCTCTGCAATTTCATCGTTTGCCTGCTCTGCGCTCTATGCAAACAACGGTCTCGGCGTGGTGCTTTCCATGGAGGGCTGAAAGGCTCCTGGAGGGATGGCAGACCCAGACACCGACAGCACCAAGGGACACGTGAACATTTGGCACCAGCCTTCATCTGAACAGGCCGGCCTTGGTTAGGGGCCGCTTCCCTCACATCCCCCTGAACTAAGGCAGAGGGCCCAACGGGCAACCCCTCGGCTAACAGCAGGCCCCCAAACCCCTTGGTCGTTTTCATGGATGCCCAAAAAGGGGCTAAAACGAGGGGAAAGAAAACACCCGGCTCAAACAAACCAAAAAAACCCCACGCAAAGCACCGTTAAGGGTCGTAGCGAGGCAGGGCCCTCAAGAGGGCAACGCTCGCCCCCGCCGCCTCACCGCCGCCCGCGCGCCCCTC